ATAAATGATGACTATATTAACAATAGAGTTTGATTAAAAATTTATGAAAATACAGGTGCCCCTGATAGGCAAAGGATCAACCGGGAACTATTAATACAAAGCCACATAATAATTTTGTATCTTAAAGTGTCCCTAAAGCAAATTGAGTAAGCCTAATTTTTCTTCCCCATTTACAACTGGTTATTGGTTTACAACACAGACACAGATTTCAGTTGGGAAACACCAAGTAATTGAATGTATTTTACTATATAAAATGTTATAATATACTTACCAAATGTAGTATCAGTCTATGGATCACAGCTTTCTCATCCCTGGTGACTATTCTTGATGGCTATTATTTTCTACTACTCTTTTAGTTGCAAGTAACAGAAACAAACCCCAACTAAAGCAGTAAACATGGGCGTAATCTATTGGCAGGCTCTGGAGCAGCTGACGGTCTCGATGAACAACCAGTTCAAGGTCCCTCACTCAAGGACTAGAAGGAAAGGCTTAAAGTAGGGTGACCAGATTTTAACATTGGTAATGCGGGACAACATGGCCGGGGGCGGGGCAAGGGGGCAGGGCAGGGCAGGGCCTGACAACAATGCAAACTTTGATAAGCAGTTCTCGATAATCACTTCTCAACAATTATTTGTTATTATTAGTTTAACATTATAAAATTAACAAAAATAATATAAAACTCATATCCTGGTGAAATCGTCACATGGCAGCTGAAAATCGTATATTCCGGTTCAGTCTAAAGATGGCGGCCTCAGCAGCGAGGAGTGTTGCAGCCCTGCGTACGAGTATTAATCGGCCCCTTGCTTTTGTCAGAAAAATTCCTTGGACTGCTGGATCGAATGAGCTGAGAGAACCCTTGGCACAGTTTGGCCGTATACGAAGGTGCTTTGTATTTTTTGACAAAGAGATGGGCTTTCACAGAGGTTTGGGTTTGGTTCAATTTTCTACAGAGGAAGAACTGCAGAATGCACTACAACAGGAAAATCATATCATTGATGGAATAAAGCTCCAGGTTGAAGCTCCAAGATCAAAAGTTTTGCCAGAGTACCAAACATCAGATGAAGAGAAAGATTAAGACTATTATTATACTTGTAAATAAAGTTAACTGAGAATTAAAAAAAATCATATATTCCCTTCCTGTTCTCCCGGCCCTTTGTGCATTCTTTCCAAAAATTGGGACTTTTTTAAAACGCCATGGGACAAATTGTTAAAAAGCAGGACGTCTGGTCACCCTAGCTTAAAGCCATCAGGACTCTGTCACTCTCTGAATGTCCACTTCAACCTCTCATTTTTCCCCATGAGTTTAGAATTAAGGTTGCAAGCATAGGTGGGACTTCTGTTTTCCTCTCCTGGGAGGAAATTTGTCTTCTTAGCTCTGATTAGAAAAATCCTAGGGAGGGAAGCTGATTGATTGAACTTAGATGACATTCCCATCCTATGGACTAATCTCTGTGGCCTGGGAAGGACAGTTCATGTAAGAATTTGAACATTTTGAATGTGGACAGAATAGAGCAGTTGCCCCAAAGTGGGGTGGACTACTCTCAGGAGGGGAATGCTGGGCAGATAAAACAACCTCTATCTGTCACATGCACAATGTCTGTCCTTGACAATGAAAGGTAAAGCTCCAGTTTGCCGGCTGCCTCCTGTGGATCGGGCCTAGGTGACTTTCAAATTAAGGGGTGATGGCAGCCCAGTGATTTAAGGGTTCTTGTGGTCCAGAGTCCAGTTAATTGAACTGTTAGCTAAAATATGCACTATTACGATGAGTTAACAATTTTGTCTGACTTACAAAGGCAAACATAATATTAGTATCTTTCTTTAAGGGATCAAAACGCTTTTATCAAAATTTAATAACGTTAGAACAACCTGATGAACAGATGAATAAAATTTCCTCTATTCTACTTATTGGAAACTAAAGCAAGATATCTTACTGAGGGTCACAGCTGCTGAGGAACTGGATGGGCTTCTAGCCTGGAAGGTTTTCATTAAAGATTCGTGTCTCAACAAGTAAGTGCAGCCCACAGATCAGTGTTTGATATTTGGCTTTATTTTATAAAAATACACAACTTAAATACATATGACACTCTGTATACAAGACATAAACAACTGGTAGATTTAACATTTTCAGTTATTTCAACAGAAAGCAAATATGCAAATTACCTTGTAAGAACAAAGGGTTCATTTATAGACTCTGCATTCACACCCAGAGGGGAAGAATGCCCAGGGAGCAATTAATGCAGGAAGCTAACCAACACTGTCCAACTTTCCAACCAAAGTCGTCATCTCACCAACAGGGCCTTTATTGCACAGCTGAATATTGCACTGCTCATTAGACATAATCTAACTTATCCACGTCACAAATGTAAGCTTTTGACTTCTCTAGAAAAGTTAAATAGAAAAACCAACGTGAAACAGTATTAACTGTGTCTTACAATTGTGCTAAATACCAATTATGAGAAGCATGAACCTCTCCATTTTGCAATGGAAGGTGCTTAGCTATATTTTGCAGCTAAAGTTATTTTCAGTTTTACAAAAATGCTAACGGGCATAGAGTGCTCCATCAGACACAGTGGTGAAGTAGCTAACATTCCCTCACCTGCTGGAATTACTTGTAAGGTCAAAAGCAATATGCAAACCGCCTACAGCTTAGGGTTCCACCCTTCTAACTTGAGATTGAAATACCTCCCCTCTCCCTGTGATGTTGTCACTGTCCTCAGGGGCATGGAGCTTGCAGGGGCTGCTTGGCTATCCTTCAGAAATTTAGCTGCCTTCTCGATAGCTCATTTAATTAACAGTGAATTACGTGTTAGTTCACAAGTATAGAGACATATTTACCAGTTGAGAATCCAATATATGAGAATATATTAGAGTAAGTTTCCTGAGGTAAATGTAAGTCTTAAAGAATGGTATGCAATCTATGCATTACAGCAGTTTATCTTGGGTAGCAGTACCATGACCCCCCATGGCTGAACTTTTAAATTAAGAGATTAATAAAACCAAGGACATTTCTATATGAAGAAATAAAGTAACAATTTGAAGCAGAAGAAATATTAACAGTTGAGAATATCAATTCAAAGGGAGGCACAGGAAGGGGAACAGAGGAACAAAAGGAGGGTGTATTTTAAAGCGCTTAGGTAGGTTAGGCCCTTACTTTGAAATGCCTCTGGGGATTTCTAACAAGTTTAAAAAGTGTTACTTCTTGGTGACTCAGATGTTGAAGACATGGCTTTTCTTTAATAATAGCTCTTCAAACTTTTGTTCTTTTGTGAAAAACAAGATTCTCTATAAATTTTTTTTTAGCCATTGAAATCATCCTGCTAGTTGTTAACTCTTAGTGATGTACTTTGCAATCCTAACTGACTGGAGAACTTTCAATAAGGCTGAACTACAAAGCACATATTTGCACCAGGAATTTAGAGGAAATTAATGCATTAGAGGTCTGTAAAATTTTGCATGAAGTTAGTACCAAAAAACTTTCCATTGCAGATCATCTTTTCTTATTTCTTAATATTCTGCAAAAGAATTATGGAAATCAGAAAAATTCTAGGACCCTAGAACCTTTATTTTGCTTCTTTTACAAAAATGAAGTAGTATATCCTTAATGTTAATAACGGAGGTGTTGAAAACTGAGTCCCAATGCCTAAACATCAAGCTAGGACTAAATTTCACCAAGTCACTCATGAGGATATGAATGGGAACACTGAAGAATTCTGTCTTAAGTGCTCACCTGCACAGTGTAGTTGTACGAGGTGACCAATCTAGTATGTAGTAACAGTGATCAAAACTGGCATCAGCTTTTATTCAGGGCTACATATTCAGCTGTCATGTCCATTTGGGCTGACACTGCCATGCATGATCCCTCGTGCATGTAACTCCTACATTCTGTTGTAAGAACAGATGGATGTTTGAGTACTTTAGGCATGATGAGGCTTTCCTTAAGCTAAAGGATTTAGGTCCAGAAGAACTGTGGGTTGGAGTTCTGTAGCCCCAGAAGCTAATTCAAAGGCCAGAGGAAATCTCATAGGAAATCACAGATCTCAGTTCAGAAAAGAAAGCATTTTCAATACCACCAAGATGAGAACTTACACTTTAAAATAATGGTCTGGTTTCCTGAGGACAAGCACAATGCAGCCTGAGCATAGTCATACAGGTGAAGCTGCTTTGGCAGAAGTAAAAATCCTGCAGACTGCAGTGGGTATGGATATATGAAAGTAGCTTTTCTTGCTATAGGTGGTAGGTAGATGCTTTAAGTAATCAACACGGGATAGCTTTTTAACATTTCCAGTAACATTATATATACCTTAAAACCCCAATTAGTGCAGTGTGGATGCAGCTAAAAATACGAGTAATGGTACAAGACAATGATGATGTAATAAGTCAAGTAATGAGGCTAGTTCTAGGAGGGCTTTAAGAAATGCCAGTGCTGATACTCCTTACATACCGAGGAGCAGACTACGGCCAGAGAATGTATTTCATAAACTGTAGTTTTAAAAGATTACTCTTGAGAAATTTGCAGCCCAGGCAAAAATTAGAGATTCTTCCCCACACAGGCCTTAAGACCTCCCTCACACCCCGACCTACCAGAGGACCCACACTTGTCTCTTGTCAACCAGGCCCAGGTCAGGGCTTGGATGAGAAGAGGGAGGAGGCAGTGGCCAGAAGCCAGGGATTCAAGAGAGAAATGATGGCAGACAGGGGAGGTAAAAAAATGAGGGGAGGAGAATGAGGTAAAAAAAGGAAATAACAGTGGCAAAGACGCAAATGAGAAGCCAGGCTTGCTAAGCAGCTGCCCTTCCTTTGCTACCTGCCTGTGGCAGACGGATGAGGAAAGGGATACGCTTCCTATGGGGATTCTCCTGGTGCATTGGGCTTGCCCCAACCTAGGTTGGCCTTTCTTTCAGGTGGGACCTGCAAGGATTCAAGGCTGACTCTTCACTCCCAGGGGCAAAGTACTGGCTACTGCCACCAGCAGCTGTTTCTATACCAAGGGGAAAGCCTCAAATTGCAGCCAGTGGGCCCAGACTTGGTGGCTGCCACTGCCTGTTCTCTCAGGACTGGCTTGTCTCTCCCCCTGGTGGTTAGAGAAAGGGAACAAAGTGGCTATCATTAAAGAGAGGCTACATTCAGAATGGTATTGCCAGACTTCACAAACTTCCAAAAGGCTGCCAAGATTCAGTCCTTACAGATTGACGGTTAGAATACCAGCCAAGGAACACAATGTAAAAGGAGCAACTTGCTTCTAAGGTCACACTAAACCTTCAGTGGTTCTGATGTTGTCTGCCTCCTTTTTTGTTATTTCCTCCTCTAATGATGAAAGGAAAAGTGAAAGGGTCCTCCTGTCCTTCCCTCCTCCTTCCAGAAACCTTGAGGACTTTCCTAAGTGAAATGCCAAGGGATGCTACAATTACAGAGCTTACAAATGAATGAGAAAAAAAAATCCAGATTATCTAGAAATATGAAATTAAGTCTCTCAGTTCACTTCATACATAGGCAGGTCATCTCGGTAAGATGTCTATGAATGGTACAGACCCCTGAATTACTGATTTACAACTGACAACACATGAGGGAACAGAGCAGTGAGATTATGTGAAGGAAACTCCATGTTGGCTATTTCACCTCTAGGAAGAGTTTGCTTGCACTCCAGTCCCATACTTGTTTCTTTTTCTCTACTTTTTACTTGATGTTTTTCAGGAGAGCTGTCCGGGCATTCACAACTGCTTTGAAGGCATCTTCACTACCAGGTGCTACACATTTGTCAGGGTGGAGAAGCACAGCAAGTTTGCGATACGCTTTATTGACTTCATCCCTATGAAAAAAAGCCAGGCTGGATGTCAGGCACAGGGTTGGGCCAACCCACAGCATGCGAGCTGTTTGGATACATATATCTCTCACAGTAAGCACATCCCAAATAATCATGACCCCTTCTCAAAGGTTGGACTAAAGTACATAAACAAGTAAGTCATATGTAATATACAAATAGAAAAAAATACAATACAAAATAAGTATGTACATGCTAAGGAAACACTTGGCAAAAGAATGACCAGGTGAAAACAGGCCGTACTTAGCACCTCTGAGGCACTCGGCAACTCTTTACCGATTAAAGAATGAGGACATAGGGGTGGCTCTGGGAGAGAAGGGATAGTGGCCAGGAGTGGCACAGACTAAAAGAAAAACCAAAACACTCAGTGTTTCATGACAAAGGGGCACGGGGAAAGCTGTGTCTCTAAGTTAGGAAACAGGTAGGAGGTTGTCACAATAATCCAGCCATGAGTATGAGTTCAGATTATGGTGTTTATGGAAGGAAGATAAAAGAGATAACAGAAAGAAAGAAATGGTAGAAGTAGATGATGAGCCAGGTGTGGTGGTTCACAGCTGTGATCCCAGCCCTCTGAGAGGCTGAGGTGGGAGGATCACTAAGGCCAGGAGTTAGAGACCAGTCAGAGAATCTGTCTCTAAAAGAAAAAATAGAAAAATTAGCCAGGTGTGGCAGTGCACACCTATAGTCCTAGCTACTGAGGAAGCTGAGGTAGGAGGATCACTTGAGTCCAGGAGTTTGAGGTTGCTGTGGGCTATGATGACATCACTGTACTACAGCCCAGGCAACACAGTAAGGCCTTGTTTCCAAAAAAGTAGACAATGAGTTGAATATCCAGGTGGAGAAGATAAAAGGAGCTGAAATGGGCTCCAGGGGCATGAGGAATCTGGGGTCTGAGGAAGATGGTGATACCATTGACCAAGCTAGGGATGCCGGATAGAAGCAGCAGAGTTACAATGAAATCACTAAGACAAAGAAGAAACAAGAGAAGGATCAATATTATCCCCCCTCTCCAAACAGGCAGTTGCTGTAAACCAGCAGTGCTCCAGGAGAGAGCTGCAGGCTTCTGAGATTCTCAAAAGCAGGAACTGGCTGAGCAGGGCCCTGGAGACTCCTATCCCCATCCCTCTGCTGATCATCATCCACAGGTATCAGGCCTAAAGGGCTCTAAGTACCCAGCTACTCTCCTGGTCAGATTAAGCTTGGTCTCAACCAGATGGTTTTCTTTTAGAATTCAGGGTTCCAGTTCTCCTGTAAGCATGGATATGGTGCTTTGCCAAATGCCTTGGCCTTTCTCTTTTATTTTTTAGCAGAACAATTTCTAATTTGTTTCTCCAAATTAGGGAGATGGTCTTTGATACCTTGGACTTGATGGAAAGTTTTATGGATCAACTTGGAGACAGTGAGGTCATGGGGTCATGTTAAAAGTTTTCCATGTCTTAGGTATACATACTAGAGCCTTTTTGTTTTTTGCTTTTAGAGGAGTCCTCCTAAATTTTCTTGTTTTAACCTTGAGTGCAGTCTTTCCTTTTCTTTCTTTGCCCTTTCTTTCTTTCCTTCTTTTTTTTTTTTTTTTTGAGTCAAGAGTCTCACACTATCGCCCTGGGTAGAGTGCCTTGGCATTATCGTAGCTCACTGACCGCCAATTCTTGGGCTCAAGCAATCCTTTTTTTTTTTTTTTT